CGCCTTCTTTCACTAATGATTTAATGAAACGTCAAAGCTTCGGCGCTTTGCGGAGGAGGGAGTGGGAAAATCGCCCCTCCCTGCACCCTCCCCCCCATTACGTCAATGCCGGTCACCATTACGTACCAATATTTGGCTCACATAATTTCAAATTTGCCCCCCCCCCCCCTAAGAAATCCTGGATCCGCGCCTGCCCGTGATGACATTCTCTCCATTTCTTCCCGTTTTGCACATAATGTCCTCTTCATTATTCGGAGCAATCGTATTTACATTCTTTCTTTACTTTTAGTCTTTACCATATCCTTCCAAAACACAGGGGCGGATCTAGCTTTTTGCTAAGGGTGGGGGGGGGGTAAACCAAATACGATGTGGAGCATCGTCCACGAGCCGCGAAGCGGCGAGGCGATTTTTTGGTGCTATTTTGAACCCCCGTTAGTGATGTTTTCCTGGCATCTACTGAAATCTACTACTACTGTGTAGGTCTGGACACATGAGAGCATTTTTCTATGCACATCACATTTTCACTTGGCAGCCCAAGGGGGATCGGGGGATTAAACCCCCTAAACCGCATAGATCCACCCCTGCAACATCTTTGCTGATCTTCTTCTCAATATTGATTTATTGGTCGAGTTACATTATTTGCTGGTCTTTTAGAACAACCAGATTTCAGAGGATTCACACTTTTCACGACGAAAAACTTCTCCATGTTTCAGTCCTTGCGCGATCGTCTCCAGCTCCAGCAGATATTGGGCGTCAGCGTGCACACCGGTACGTACTACCGGCGCAGTATGACGGCCGCATTAGCTGTGCACTGCGAGCTTCCGTTGTTTGTATCGGTAATACTCATAGAGATGGGAGAGAAAGCGCCATCTAAGTTCCATTTCATTGGTTTAAGGTTTGAAAATTGATACTCAATATTGTGTTAAAGTTATATAAGAAAAGATAATCTTTTTTTTATAATTCCACGGGGGCGATTTTTTATTTTGCAATCGCCCCCGTGGGCAACCTGACGGGGGCGATTATGGAGCTCACAGGGGCGAATCGCCCATCGCCCCCGTGCATTTTGAGCGCTGCTAATAATTCAATGAAACGTCAAAGCTTCGAAGCGCGGAAGGGGGGAAACTGAATTCAGACAATGATTAACAACCGAGAACGGTACAACGAATCGTCTTCTTTCTCTAATAATTTAATTAAATGTAAAAGCTTCCGCGCTTCGCGCGGGAGAGGGGGGGGGGGGAGCTCAATTCAGACAAGGATTAAGAGTCGAGAACGGTACTCTTTCTCTAATGATTTAATGAAACGTTAAAGCTTCCGCGCTTCGCGCGGGAGGGGGTATGGAAACCGAATTCAGACAATGATTAAGAATCGAGAACGGTACAACGAATCGTCTTCTTTCTCTAATAATTTAATGAAACGTCAAAGCTTCCGCGCTTCGCGCTGGAGGGGGGGGGGGGGGAACTCAATTCAGACAAGGATTAAGAGTCGAGAACGGTACTCTTTCTCTAATGATTTAATGAAACGTCAAAGCTTCCGCGCTTCGCGCGCGGGGGGGGGGGGGGTATGGAAACTGAATTCAGACAATGATTAAGAATCGAGAACGGTACAACGGGGGGGGGGGGGGAACTCAATTCAGACAAGGATTAAGAGTCGAGAACGGTCTTCTTTCTCTAATAATTTAATGAAACGTTAAGCTTCTGCGCTTTGCGCTGGAGGGGGGAATCTGAATTCAGAGAAAGATTGAGGGTCGAGAATGGAACAACGAATTATCTTCTTTCTCTAATAATTTCATTAAACTATGAAAGGTCAATGCTTCGCGCGGGAGGGGGAAAACTGAATTCAGACAAAAGGAATAGGAGTCGAGAATGGTACAACAAATCGTCTTCTTTCTCTAATAATTTATATCAATTAATGAAAGGTCAAAACTTCCGCGCTTCGCACGTAATGGGGGGGGGGGGGAGGGGGAGGGGAACAGCGAGCTGCCCGAATATGAATTTGTTATATCTTTTCTCGTATATTTTGCTAATAAATAACACTTTCACAAAATACATATTATCCTCAAATTTTTGCTCGCTCGCTTCGCTCACTAGCCAAATTGTGAAACTAGAAAATTACTTTTCGGGCGAGAGGCTTCAGCCCCCCCCCCCCCCCCGATGAAAATGTCAAAAAAATTACATATGGTGCTTCTAATATGACATTGTCAGTTTTGGTATGTTGAGTTGAAAAACGGTCTGCGCAATTTTCAAATTTCCGGCCCCCCCTATTGGAAAATCCTGGATCCGCGCCTGACATCAACAATTAAAATGCAATTGAAAATCTGAAGAGGAGGCAGCACGTCAACAAGGAGAACATCACAATAAAATTATTAGTCAATAAAACTTAATTAACTTAAACGAAGAGGAATGTTATCTAAACACAATAGTTCGCGATGGATATTCAAACTTCTTCGCAGCGCTAATGCGCTAGCGAACATGCCTAGTCTCACGTACGTGCAGACATTATTCAGAAGGGAAAGAACGTACTTCCCATAGGCTCAACACGTACCATGCCCCAATCTGTGCCGCATAAAAAAATAACGCCGCCGGGCCGATTCTTCTCGCCGACGAACCTAGGCTGGGTCCTTCGATTCTCGTATTTCAGGTGTAAAAGAAGAAGAAGAAGAAGAAGAAGAAGAAGAAGAAGATTGAAGATTTATTTATTTCTCAATTCCACTGACATGAAAACAATTCATTCCTGAACAACAACAAGTTCATCGTCAACAAGAATAAATTGATGAACAATAACAAGAAAGTTGTAAATACCTGGGATAAATACATTGAAAATGTGGAAAAGAGGTGGTCTGTAAAAAAGCACAGAAGAAGAAGATAATGTGAACATGATGAAGATCGAAGAAGATGATGAAGAAGATGAAGGAGGAGGAGGAGGGGAAGAGGAGGAAGGGGAGGAAGAAGGAAAAGAAGAAGAAGGGGGAGGAAAAGTGAGAAGAGAACTAATGCGCTGATCGCAACGTATGGGGAAAATATTTCTGACAAATTGATTATTTTATTTGAAATGTATTTCCATTCATATACATATTTCATTCTGTTTTGCAAACATTTTCGTATATCAATCCTTATACCATACGCCATAGTTTACATACAGGCACGTAGCCACGGGGGACGGGAGACGGGGAGGGGGCACGTGCCCCCCCCCCCCCCCCAAAAAAAAAAAAAAAAAAAAAAAATAAAAAAAATCCAAGATCGGTTGAACTTTTTTAAACCCCTCCCCAGGACGTCGATCGATAAGGCCTAAAATTAGAACTTGTATTGGCCTTTGGGTGCCAAAACATGGATCGGTCGGTCGGATTTTTTTTTTTTTTTTTTTTATATACCTTTTTTTGTGTGGCCTCTTTGGGCCGAACTTTTTCAAATTTGAATGTTTTGGGGTTTTCCGTTTTTTTCCTGCCCTCTTTTGGCTGATATTTCTCAGCTTTTAATGCTTTGTGTTTCAGCGTCATCATTCCATTGATATATTTTCACCTCATAATTATCCATGGTTTGCACGAGTGAGAACTTTTGAATAATTTAATTGGATGCATTTATATCCCATTTAAACAAACGAAATACATATTTTTTTATTCATTAATTTAAACAAATCTAAAAAATGGTTAAAAAAAAACTTTTTTAAACTGGCCGACCGTAGATTTTCAGATTTTGGGGTCGGTCGCAAAGGGCAATACAACAAGTTTTTATTTTAGGCCTTACATGTACAGTATGTGCCCCCCCCCCCCACAAACATCTAACTCTTTTTATATTGGCCTACAGCTTTGCGTTCTATATTGTTATAGCCAGCGTATGTGTAGGGCCTATACGTGTACGTACCCATCAAATTTTAGACTTACTAGTGGTTCTGAAATGTCTGCATGCATTATAGTTATTAGTAGGGGAATATAAAACAAGGACACGTTTGATGAAAATGTCATTTGATGCTGATATAAACCCTAAGTCTTCATCATGTATTCCACCCTGTATTGAGGTAACATGCGCAAGCGGGTATGAAAAGCAAGGTAGGAGGCACAAGCGCTGTGTATCATAGCATGCACAGGCATGTAGGGAAGGGGAATCCCCAACACCAAGCTATCCGGATATCCATACCAGTAACAGAGTGACGGAGGAATCGTATGTATCGCAGACTTCATGTGACGACTCCTAACCTAAAAAATCTACTTGGAAAAGAAGAAAACTGCTCAATCATTTTAGCCTTTATAAAAGGTGTGCTTTTCAGGATATGTATTGCAGACTTCATATGTAACGAATCCTAACCTTAAAAAAAATCTACTTGGAAAAGAAGAAAACTGCTCAATCAGTTTAGCCTTTATAAAAGGTACTGTGCTTTTCAGGATTTTTTTTTCTCCATAAAAATAACAGAGTGACGGAGGAATCGTATGTATCGCAGACTTCATGTGACGATTCCTAACCTAAAGAATCTACTTGGAAAAGAAGAAAACTGCGAAATCAGTTTAGCCTTTAATTAGGTACTGGAAGATATCGAGAATTATAAAGTGTATTATAGCATTGTGTTGTTATCATTCTTGTGCTTTTCAGGATTTTTTTTATTTTCCAAAAAAGTAACAGAGTGGCGGAGGAGATGATGGACATACGAAAGCCTGAATAAATGATGGCAGCCGATTATTAAATGCGCATACTATTAAACATAAAACACATTATTTATCATTAACCCTATAAATTGACACCGAAACTTCATGATATTAATTCCAATCAGCTCTGACAATAAATGACTAAAAAATAATGAGTAACGAGCACATTAACCCCCCATAATCTTCAATCTTGCACTTAGCCAATAACAAAGGCCAAGATAAATCTTTATCTCACACACCGTGGCAAGTATCAGAATCACAGAAACGTAGAGCAGCAGAAGTGAGAGCAAGACGCCCTCACACACAGCCTGGCGAAACAACAACAACCAGTTGGTTTCCCGCGTTTGTGGGATTGCGCGCCAGGCCAGTTGAATACATAACAAACGAAGGTTCGTGCCTAGACTCTAGTTCTCAACGGTCTGCTATGCTGAGAAAGACGTTCTCTGTCCTTTGTCGAAGCCGTTTACTTTTGCACCCTTCTGTTTGTCAACCTTTTTGCGACATGACTCCTGGTGTCGAATCCCCTGCCAAGAGGCAAAAAATGGAGGTAAACGGCATGGGTGATGCTGTAGTGGAACCCGTTTTGCAATTTAAAAGACTTAACGATGCCTTCGCTCCTGTTCGAGGCTCTGATCATGCGGCGGGTTTCGACTTGTTCAGGTAAGATTGACTCACTGACTGAGTAAGATTAGTTAAAAGGAAACCTCACCCCAAGAAATGAATGAGCTTAGTTAGACTGAGAGATTTATTATAGGCCTATTCTACAATACAATATTCCAATTCCCCTGCAAAGAAAGTGTATGAGTGAGGTATAAACTTGGCCTAGGTCTAGGGTCTAGCATACCTGCCAACCACCCCGATTTAGGCGGAGTTTCTCCGCTTTTTACATACCAACTCCGAATTCCGAGTGCATGCCTCAAAACTCCGATTTTTTTTTTTTTTTTTTTTTTTTTTTTTTTTTTTTTTTTTAGAGTGTAATGCACTTGGAGAGTATACAACTAGACCTATTATGTTTGTATTTTGAAATGTAAAGCGTCTTGAGCATGTTCATGTAAAGGCGCTCAATAAATACCAATATGTATGTATATGTATAAGACTAAAGCATAACACAGCAGTGATAACCAGATCACGCCGACATCCGCGCTCGTGCTCATAGAAGATGTACACAGCGCAGCCCGAACGTGATCGTTAGTTCCACAGTCACCCCCTGTGTACCCCCCCCCCCCCAATCTACGGGCTACTACCCCAATCCTTCGGTGGTTCGCGACCTCGTAGTCCATCCAGAAAAATTTACTCCTAATTTCTCTTGTCTCAGGTTGGCAGGTATGGGTCTAGTAGTACTAGTAAAGTAGATCTAGACTAGTCTAATGCAAGAATAATTAAAAGTTTCTTAGTACGACATTTTCTTGATTAATGTGACGTAGTCTTGAGTAGAATACCTTGAATACCTTGAATACCAAAGCTTCTGGAAGAAAGCCGTCTCCAGCTGCCAAGCTTCAATCCAGGTCTAACTTCAAGGGGGGGGGGGGATGTCCCAGCTTCCGGGTCTTGCACCATAGTCATTTTACATCTGTATCTTGCTTGCTGGGTCATATCTAGACCTAGATCTATACAGTATACGGTAGCCTAAAGATCTAGTCTAGATCTAGATCTAGTACTAATACTTTGTGAAGTTGTTTATCATGTAAATTTATTCGAATTTTTGAATGCTTCCTTTCCTGGCCTGGTGTGTGTGGTGATCAAGCATTTTGTGTTGTTGTTGTTGAGTTTGTTAGATCTATCCATTGATTGCGATGATTTCCGCCAGGCTTGGTGTGAGAGGGCGTCTTGCTCTCTATTTTGCAGTTCTACTTACATTCAAATGCAATTATCCTTTGTACTGCAATCGCCAGATAGCAGTTTGCATAAGTACGTTGCAGAGCTACCAAGTGTCACCCATATCGAGGGCCCAAAACACTGTCATGCATCAGGGCCAAACTGGATTTTTGTCATGCATCAGGGCCAGACTGGGGAGAAAAAAATTAGTAATTGCTAGACTACGTACTGGCCGACCGCCTCAAGGCCTCGGCTAGCACCTCGCTTGGGTTCATGAACGTATATCGCATGCACGTAGCTAGACAGAAATAACCGTCTGATATGGGTCATTTCTTTAATAAAACTGACATTCCCTGACATTCCCCGACATTCCCCAATACAGACGGTAAGGTCTCGCAACGTGGGGGTAATCTAGAGCAATTCTGAACATCTTTTTGTAATTTTGGCTCCCCGACATTTTCTCCCCCGATTTTCTTTATTTAGATCTAATTTTCTGATCTATGAAACAGATAGAAAATACTATGAATTTTGTATAAGGTACTCCTATCTGGAGTAATTAAATATTGATAACCTACATGTATTATAAAATGCGAAATTTACGGACTTACATGTATGAGTTATCCAATTTTTGTTCAGAACCATGAAATAGTACGTTCATGCACTCGAACTAGTTATGACATGACCCGGCGGCCGATATATTTCCGGGTCAACCTACCAAAACATAGCCAATGGCCAATCAGAGCACTCGTTTCGTTGGTCAAGCTGGGCTGACTAATGCGTAGCTACGGTAGCTATTGGACGTTCGAAAAGAAAAAATGAATATTCATCAACTAAAACCAAGATGGCTGACAACGAATCATGTTGACTACGACACTTTCTCGGATTAATAATCATAGATTTAGGATCTAAATGAGCAAGCTATCGTTAGTCAAATAAGCTATATATATATGTTATTTTTAATTTTTTAATATACTCTAATTATTGTAATATTGCAGCATTTATGAGGATGTAAAGAGTGAAAATCTCGTTGCATATCTCATTCATCGCGGTCCAGACGAACTTCAGTCTCTATAATCAGAGGTTTAGTGGAACAATCAACGATATAGAGAGACTGAAGCTTTTGGTCTATCCCGTTGCTTCATGTGCTTGCGCGATTTCGAAATGTACGGTTTATATGCGATACGTACGCTATATCCTCACGCGCTGAGTCATAAAAATATCACGCGAAGCTGATCTTTGAACTTGGCATCTCTGACGTTGGTGCTCATCTGGAGTGAAGGTTTCTCATAAATTAAAGGAAATACATTTGTCAACAGTTTATAGTATTTTCAAATAGATTAGTTAAATTGTTTGCCTGTTATATAAATTCTTCACCAAAAATAATTCTATCTTCTCAGCTATGATTTTTCCTCATTGAAAAGTAAAGGTTTCGTTACTGATTTTAAAAGTCTTTCCAACTAAAGCTGAGTGCATGATACTATAACTGGTACATGTAGGCCTACTGGTATGTCACATTTTCAAGAAAATGTCTGCGCCCATGTCATGCAAAAATGCATCACATCATGCCAAAAATATCTTCATTAATATATGTATATCTCTTGTACATTTTCGTAAGTAATTTTGTACATCAAAGGGTAGAAATACATCTCATTTTTCAGAATACCTACACTTATTCTTTGGGGTGAGGATTCCTTTAAGACGTAGCTCTCTTTAATCATTTGAGCCATCGCTACTGTTCTCAGCTTTAGGTAGAAGTGTACTCAAACACGTAGTACAAGCATTAGTTCATAAAACGGCATCAGACACGTCAGGACAGAAGAAGACCCCAAAACAAAACAAAAACAAACTTAAACAATGACTACCGGTATGACTTTTATACTAGATTCACAGTCATTTTCTAGATTCTTTAGTTTTAGTAAACTGGCATTTGTCCACCATCCCCGTACAAAAATGGTACCCTTTTCACCTGAACCGCAGCTACAATGTAGTTCAATTTTCACCACAATTTAGCAAAAACTTTGTCCCTGGTTTTTCTAAATCATGTTTAAATTAAACTATGCCCATGGTTTGATTTAGAACTAGATGGATGTTTGACTGCACGCAGTCGAAAATTATGCCTCCGCCATAGAGCAATTTTTCAAATTCAAGTTTGATTGTAATTCATTAACAAGTTCGCAGATTATTGCGATTACAAGTTATTTTTTATATACATGTATGACCCTTTGGTCTTTGATCTTAAGACCCTAAAATCGAATCAGGTCAATGGTGGCTCTGCAAGATACATACATGTCTTGAGTTTGATAGTAATCTATCCGTCAGTTGTAATAAGAAGGCGTTCACAAACTATTTTTGCATACATAATGAGCCCCCTGACCTTTGACCTCATGACCCCACAATCTACTCAATTCATTTGCTTTGCAAGATAAATACATGTTTTGATGGTAATCTGTTCATCGGTTTAATTATGTGATCATAAGCTATTTTTGCATATGTAATGAGCCCTGTGACCTTTGACTTTTGACCCTCAAATCTAATCAGATCATTGGCTCTGCAAGATACATACATGACTAAAGTTTGGCAGAAATCCATCCAGTGGTTCTTGAGATAACGTGAGCACAAGCTATTTTTGCATACATAATGAGCCCTTTGACCTTTGACCTTGTGACCCCAAAATCTAATCGGTTAATTAGCTCTGCTAGATACATACATGACCTAAGTTTGGCAGGAATCCATCAGTCGGTTCTTGAGATTACGTGATCACAAGCTATTTTTGCATACATAATGAGCCCTTTGACCTTTGACGACCCCCTGACCCCAAAATCTAATCAGCTCATTTGCTCTGCCAGATACATACATTGTTCAAGTTAGGCAGGAATTCGTCCATCGGTTCTTGAGATAAAGCGATCGCAAGAACGGGACGGACAACCCGAAAACATAATGCCCCAAGTTTTTTTAATTTTTTAAGAGCTATACAAAAATTTGTTCTTACTCACAGTTTCTAGATGGCTGTGTTTAAGTAAAAGTTTAGATATAGCATTGCCATCTTAATGACTTTATAAATGACTGTTCAAGTGTTCATAATGCGAGTCAAATTAACGTACTTGCTTCATGTAGTTGGACTTCTGATTTTATCAATGAGTTCATATTTGACTCCCTCAACTCTTCATCCACCGTTTCTATTTCTCCTTTCCAGTAATAAGGACATGGTTGTACCAGCCAAGGATAAAACCTTAGTTCCTACCGACCTCCAAATCGCTCTTCCTGAAGGTTGCTATGGTAGGGTAGCTCCAAGATCAGGGTTAGCATTAAAGAAGTTCATCGATGTCGGAGGTATTTTTCTTCATTTCACTCATAAAGATATTTAATCCATTTTGGCAGATTCTTTTATGCTTTCAGTAACATTTGGGTGATTTGAAGCTCCAGAATTCTGATAATATTGAATGACATAGTGATGGATCTGAAAAAGCTGCACTTTCTTCTTGAAATTCAGTTTTTTTCAAAGTTTTGGTGTCATGATAGAAAAAATCCACAACTGCCCAGCAAGATTAATTTAAATCAAATTTGTTGGCATCTGTAAAATTTAGTGTCATGAGGGTTAAGATTGTCTTCTTTTTTTTTCAAAAGCAGAATGCGATCAAAAAAACAATACACAGAGCATGTCTAATTTCAACTATTTGTTGCACTTGTATAATACCACTACTATTCTTGCAAAATTTGGCTTGTTATTCCAATTAAAGTGTTGATTACAGTGGTAATACAATTAGTCTGGTTGTCATATTGAGTCATTAATATTAAGCACTAATATCTCAAGCAAAGCAAACAATTACAATTATGTTAAACATCTGCCAAATTTAGAAAGTTTTAGAAGAAGAATATCAAGATCTGATAAAATATTATTTTTAAAAATATGTTGCGTGTTCATCTAATCTCAATTTTTCTATGTCTGTCTTCAACAGCTGGTGTTATTGACAGGGACTACAGAGGAGAGGTATTTGTTCTACTTTTCAACTTCTCAGATACTAACTTTGAAGGTTTGTTCCTTGAATATTTTTTGTAATGATAGTTCATTTGAAATAAATGTGTTCAGTAAAGATTTGTTTTTTTTTGTGACTTCTAAACTAAAACTGCACTTTGTGAAGATCTTATGGCAGCATCATGCCATTTGAGTTTGATATATAAATCACTCTTGTGTTGGTAAAGATGTGAGGATTTGTAGAAACATCAGTACATCACTGAAAATTCTTTTTTTCTCACGCTGATATTGTTCCAAGAATTCTACTTGTATTTAACATGTGATGTAAGTTGAATGTGAGTGAATAACAAATAAAGATGCACTTTGAGTTTCTATAAAACACATAATATCTTAGATGCTGCATGTAAGTATCGGCCTACATCGTGCTGTAAATATACAGTAGTCTTGCGGGTGCACCATGTGAGAGAGAGGGAAGATTGAGGAGTCCTGAAAAGGACTCAGTAATCTTTCTTGAGGGTGTGTAGTCCTGAAAAGGACTGTTGGGGTAGTCTTGAAAAAGACTGTTGGTTATCTTTCTTAGCTTATAGTTCTAAGGAGAACTATAGTGCTTGGAGAGGAGAGTGGCGTGAGTGGCTCGACGACGGATAGTCAACCTGTTCGAAACGTCGAGCCTCTCCCACAGTCTTTTTCAAGACTACTGTACATAATATCTTTTTTTTTAAATAATTTTGCACATCTCGCAGTCACATTTTAAATGTAGATCACCTTATAAACTGACATCGGTAAATCGATTGTCTCTTATACCTGAGAAATATACCTTGAAAGTAGGCATTTAAAGTTAAAAATTATTTGCCTCTCGTTGACATTCGGATGAAGAATCCATATTTTGGCACATATTTAGTGGCGCTATACAGCAATTGACGAACATGGACAAGCGAAGGACTCCTCTGGGTCAAATTGATCTTTTCTTGACGACCAAAATTTCAACAATTGGATTTAAAGCTGTTTAGTGACTTGCTCTCCACAACTACAGAGGAGAGGTTGTTCCATTCATTGTTACATCTCTGTGAAAATGATCCATGTCTAAGCTTCGAGTAGACTTTCTTCTTAACGATCTTGTATCGATGGCCACGGGTTCTATTATCAGTTGGATGGTCAAAGAAGTGTGCTAGATCCAGTTCATCTAGGCCATGCATTATTTTGTATATCTCTTTTAAAAATTTCAAATTTCTATCAATATTTTCCCTGAAATCCCCCTTTTTGTCTCCCCTGCGTAGCAAAAAGCGAGACATAGGTGCCGCTTTTCCGGTGACGGCGGCGGCGTTGGCGGCGGCGTCAACATCAAAAACTTAACGTAAGGTTAAGTTTTTGAATTTTTGATATAATTTTTAAAGTATAAGTTCTTAGTCAATGAAACTTGACTATAGGGTAATCAAGTATCCCCAATCATGTGAGTAGAATTTCAGATCACAAAGTCAAGATCAAAGGTCATTCAGGTCAACAGACTTGGACTATGTTGTAGCATCATCATCGAAAACTTTACGTAAGGTTAAGTTTTTGAATTTTTGATATAATTTTGAAAGTATAAGTTCTTAGTCAATGAAATTTGGACTATAGGGTTATCAAGTCTCCCCAATCATGTGAGCAGAATTTCAGGTCACTAAGTTAAGGTAAAAGGTCATTTAAGGTCAACAAACTTAGACTTTATTGTGGCATCAACATCAAGATATTCAAAATGCTTCTTCGTTATTTTTCATTTCATTTATTGATTCTGATTGTTTCATATGATAGGGCTAGGAGGGGGATTTAAAATTTCTACACAGAATCGTGAAATTCATTATCTATGCTAATTTATGCAAATTTATTCGAAATCACAAAAAAGGCTTCTTCTCCTTTATTTCTCGACCGATTTTGATTTGGTTTGCTTTATATGGTAGAGCTAACTTTGGTACACTAAACTTCTACACAGAATTTCGAAAATGTTCTCCATTAATTAATTATGGTAATTTATGCAAATTTATTCCAAAAATAACAAAAATTGCTTCTTTTCCCTCATTTCTTGACCGATTTTGATTTGGTTTGCCTTATCTGGTAGAGCTAAATTTGGAACACTAAACTTCTTCACAGAATTGTGAGATTTTGCTCCATTGATTATTTATGGTACTTTGTGCAAATGAAATGAAATTACCGGTATGTCCCTTCCTGGGCATCAAATTTTTATTTTTTGACCAGTTCAAAAGTGTACCACATAAAATTAACGATATTTGTTGTTGCGAGATGCGGATGAGCACTACGTCATTGACGTTCCGGTTTATCATATTGTATTGCATTATGCAGGCGAGACCGCCGAGAGCGTTTCCCTTGTTTAATTACATATTAAGCTTTGCGATTTTCTGCCTATATGACCTATTAAATTCAATTATAAAGAGATTTGTTGACATTGTTTATTACTATTCTATAATCTTTTAAAGTAGATATTCATTGATTTTAAATCTAGCTTTATTTTCATTATTGCAAAGTTGAAACTTTGATTCGACAAGGTTATCAAAATTCAATGCATGGAAACATTCGAAGTAATGATTATTATAAATTACAAAACGCTTAAATACAGCCCCGGCATAGCACCTGAATAGCTCTCCGAACGCTGCTGAGATGTGTGAGATCACAGCAGGGACATGATTTGCACAAGCAGACGATGTACCATGACATCTCACACATTTTCAGTGCCTGTATTTTCATCTTCTCTTGAGTTCTTTCTCTTACTTCACCACCGCCAGGCTAAATGTATAATCTATTGCCTCACTCTAAACCCCGCGCATGGTTTTATTTTGATGACAAATGCAGCGATACAAAAATAAAGGAATCTGTCGCTTGTAAACAAAATAAGACGCCATTGTATATTCAGCTGCAGACACCGCGGTATGTTCGGCGTTTTAAGAGGGAACAAATGCCGTCCTTAATATCAGTCCGGGGGCTTTTCAATTTGAAAGGCTGGTTTCTTTGATTGTTAATTAACCCCTATCCTGAGTATTTACAATCAAAAGATTTTAGTTATCAGAATCGGGTCATGTCCCCTTTTGATCGGTTTGACGTGCCAGTACATTTATATACACTAAACTCATTATAATTTGACAAATAATAGCTTTGCAATTATGTTCCTTCTTTATGGGATGTCGTCTGCTTGGGCAGTATTGGTCCCTGTTGTGACGTCATTAAAACATCGTTATTTTTCTGGCGAATCTCTCGTATATCCCAGCTGCTATGGAGGTGGTTGTATTTTTATTTTTATAAATCACCCGATATGTAGCTGACCTCAAACTTGTACGATGGCCATTTGTTAGCTTACCAGTTTCTAGTGATACATTAGTTGACATATTTGTGATTTTCTTTGAATTTCACCTTTAAAATGTTTGTTTCTCTCGATCCACAGTGAAGAGAGGAGACAGGATAGCCCAGTTAATCTGTGAAAAGATCTTCATGCCTACCTTAGTTGAACGTGAGGTAAGATTGCCCCAACTATTCTTGAACTGGGTGCATGCCTGATGCAAACACCTGTTGTTTATTGATATCTAGAATGCTAAACTTTTATTATGAAAAACTAAACAGTATTCAAAGGTCAGACATGTTTTTATAATTTTAGGGATGGATACGATGCATAAATATTAAATCATATATTTTCATCCTTATTCTTGACAAATTGGTTTTTAGTATAATGCTTCTAAGATCACCACCAGAGAGAGTAATGTATTTTGTTTTCGGGTTGTCCGTCCGTACGTCCCGTTCTCGTGATCGCGTTATCTCAAGAACCGATTGATGGATTCCTGCCTTGGTCATGTATGTATCTTACAGAGCCAATGAATTGATTAGATTTTGAGGTCACAAGGTCAAAGATCAAAGGTCACAGGGCTCATTATGTATGCAAAAATAGCTGGTGATCACATCATTGGAACCGATGGACAGATTACCATCAAACGCGGGACATGTATTTATCTTGCTGAGCCAATGAACTGATTAGATTTTAGGGTCATGAGGTCAAAGATCATAAAAGGGTCATACATGTATATGAAAAATAGCTAGTAATCATGATATTCTGAGAACCTGTTAATGGATTACAATTTAACTTAAATTTGAAAGATTGCTTGTGTTTTAGTTTGTGAAATTGCTCTATGGTGGAGGCATCAGTTTCGACTGCACGCAGTCGAAGTTCCATCTAGTTCTCTTTTCTTTTGATGCTGACTTTGTTTTGGCTACATACACACACAAACACTCACGCATATGAACGTGAGATGTGGTATAAATGAACTACGGGGGCTTGTTTGTAAGAAATATGGTTAATGGGTCAATTTAAATGCTTTTTGGGTGATATTTGTAGAGCAACTTAACCTTCAATACAGCTATTATGTAAAATGGTAAACAGTATTAATATGAAGAAGACGAGCATCAGTAATATTCCTCTATAGCTACAAATACTGCAAAATATTAAGTGATCAATCCCCACTAATAACAGCCTCGTTACTAGTCACAACATGAAATTAAGATGAAACGATTATACAAAGTGCATCAGATATAATGTATTATATGATGTCATGCATGGAGAACATTCCCATTATGGTGTGTTCTAAAAATTATCCAACATGACCCTTTCAAATGCTTATGATATAATGTAGAGCAGATCTTTGTTACCGATACAAATCAAATGGGCGACACATTGTTACCTGTTCCAGGAAGAAAAAAATCTGTTTACCGTACCCTACAAAATTAAAAAACTAGGTACCAAAATAATTTGTGTACTAAAAGAAATAGGATAGTCTTTCATGTGATACATTATGACTGCATTGCCAAGTGGAGATTTCACAAATTAGTAACAGTAGTGATCTCATTTTTCCTTTTCATATTCTTTGATTTTCTGAGAGTTTAAGGTTAAAGTTTTACTTGTTGTTTCTCAAATATAATTGATAAAGGTTTCTTTTCTCATCAACATGAGGCCATGTTATATCTTCTTCTTTTCTAATTTACTTTCCTTCTTTTTCTTTTCTTCTGATTTTATTTTTACAGACTTTAGAGGAGACCAAGCGAGGAGAAGGGGGCTTTGGTTCTACAGGGTCAAATTAATTAGCACTGACTTCAAACATAGTTACCTCAGCAGTATAATGTCATGAAAGCCAGAAACCAGTCTGGAGGAGACAATAAGCTGGAAATGTTGGACATTACTCCACAGAACGATTCCAAACGAGTGGTAGCACGTTTTGCTACACATTTCCACGGCATAGAATAGTGTTACATGTATTTTCTGTAATTTTATACACCATTATGGTCAGGTGATAATCATTTGGAAATGATAAATTCTGACATCAAAGGCTCACTTATATAAAAAGAAAATTGTTATCAATTTCAAAGAATGAATGTCTTCCATTATTCATGCTTAAAGCCAATGACGACTTTGAAAGCTTAAGTTGTTTTGTGCTCTTTGTAGTAATATCATATATGTTTAACCATAATGAATGTATAAACAAAATTTTCAAAAAATGACAAAGGTGCCTGTTCTCCCAGGTAACAGGTGGCATAGTTAAATTTTGCTGCAATCCCCATTGATTTACATGTAAAAATATTCTTTGTGCGAGCGCGGATACCATACAGTGTGTTTGACAGCAAGAACACCAAAAATTCCATGAAATTCTCTGTAACAATATTTGAAGACTACCTGCAAGTTATCAACACAGACCTCGATAGCTCCAGAGGTTTTACGCTGGTGCTAGACAGAACAACAGTTCTCTATACAGGAAGAAGTCAATGTTAATTATTAGATTCGGACTTCAGCGTTATTTCCTCAATTCTAAGAATGTGGAGATTATTAAGCATGAAATTTTTTTTTCAGCTTAAACAAAATGGAAAGGGAAATGTGACTCACAAACCAGCTATCTCACAAGAAGACATGGAAAAATCCAAAGTTCGCTTGATTTGGATAATTCACTAGGTCTTCAGGACAAGGCATTTATTAATGTTATATTGTATTTTTGCAAATGTGGGAGAAAGAATTTGCGCGAAATGACACTTGACAGCTCTGAAATTTGTAAGGTAGGGGGGAAAATGCTACATAACTCTCAAAGATACATTCACAAAAAACAACAGTGCAGTTAAACTAGAGAAAAGTCAAGTTGGTTTCATGACTCCAACTAATGGTCCACAATGTCCTGTTGCTTCCTTCTTGCGCTACAAAGATAAATTGAATCCCAATGTAAGTGGTTTTGGCAGAGACCGGCAAAGCCCAAGCGTGAGTTGAATCCATCTTGTTCTGGTCCATGGTACTGTATTAAATGCACCCCTAGGGAAAAACACCAGAGAAAAGATGAAAACATTTACATCTCGTGCAGGTACCAAAGCGAACACCAACCATTGCCTAAGGGCAACCAGCATCAGTACCCTACAAAATGCAGGGTTCCGAGATCATGAGTGGCAGCTGTTGATCCGCAATCAGTACCATCATCATCGACATTCACTGGTGGCACTGTTAAAAAGCGTAGGAACGCCGAGAATATATCTATACTAATAAACATTGTTATATAAATCAAAGAATGTATAGTTGCATGTAAATACAGTAGGATTTGTTTATTTCGCTTGCTAGACAAAGCCTTGTTTTATTTATTGTAAATCTGATAAATGGTTGCAAGGATAATATCTTAGTGTTTCGCTCAAAAACAGATCTGCTGCGCTGTATTTGTTGCCCTCTTGAGGTGAAAGTCTTCCAGGATGTATACACTGTTGTGTGCCGGGCAGAAAGGCCACAAAGTGCATGGACGTCCGTTGCTATAAATACGCAATTCAAGTTTATGACCTTCCTTTCATTACATCTGCACAACAAATTTTTACTCAATGCATCGTCTTAATTGTGAACAATTATTTTAATTAATAAATTCTTCTTTTGTCTTCAGTTTAAACAAAAAAATAACAGGAGGCTAATAGACCAAAGGATCAGCCCTTCTGCTGGAACAAACAGCAAAATGGGCATGTCTTTTAGCTTGTATTGCAGCAATCAAGTTGCATTTGTATGCATATTCATAGAATGCAATTACTCTATGTAAGTAGGTCTGTATTTACTGGTCAATGTTGATATTGAAATTTACCTTATTGTTTTAGTATCATGTTGATATGAGTCTGTTAACCTTGATATGAAAAAAGTACTATGAATGGTATCATAGAATGGCATTACATGGTGCACTATTGCGGAATTTTGGCATCTCATGATTTAGTTTCTATACATGTATTCAGTATTTTTTTCATTCAGTATGTAAATAACAGCAGTTAAACAACTTTCATTTTGTATCAAAATGTCTTTATTTTGTGGAGGTCAAGCAGATACTTGCAATGGTGATTGTAGTGATGTATGGTATGAGTTATGGTGATGGTAATGATAGCATTGGTAATATTGATTACGAGGTGAATTGTAATGTTGATTATGTTGATATTTGTGGTATGGGTGATGATGGTGTTTACAGCCAATAGCTGCATGTGGTACATTATACATGTATATTACACTACATAAGATTGTGGTAATAATGATGACATGATGGGTGCATAAAAGTATGGTGGAAATGATGGTTGTGTTAGCAGTAGAATTGGAGAGGGTTATGATGTAAGAATTGTGGTAATTTTTGTGATGATGTTGATAGCAGTAGCAAGGATACGATTGCTTGTCATGAAGATTAACATGAATGCAATATCGATGATGGTAGTCACAGTTTAAGTGGTGATGTGACGGTGTAAATGATAATGGTGATTACAATATATGTGATAATGGTAAATGTGATTACAATATCTGTGATAATGGTATAAATGATAAATGTGATTACAATATCTGTGATAATGGTATAAATGATAAATGTGATTACAATTTCTGTGATAATGGTATGAATGATAAATGTGATTACAATATCTGTGATAATGGTATAAATGATAAATGTGATTACAATATCTGTGATAATGGTATAAATGATAAATGTGATTACAATATCTGTGATAAAGGTGTGAATGATAAATGTGATTACAATATCTATGATAATGGTATAAATGATAAATGTGATTACAATATCTGTGATAATGGTATTAATGATAAGTGTGATTACAATATCTGTGACAATGGTATTGATAATAATGAAAAAAATACTGCATTGGTGATGGAATTTATCACATGCCCATATAAGTTATTAGTCCTACAATCTCTAAAAAGAAAAAAAGAAGGTAAGGCGATGACCACATTTAAAAAAAAAAAAATTATTTTATTTTATTTTATTTTATTTATTTTTTTTTTGGGGGGGGGGGGGGAGGAGACAACATTTTTGGTGCTAATCTGTTCAGCCAAATAAATCTTTGCCATTTTCTAGTGGGTTCTCCTGTGTGACAAGAGGAAGTTCATGGCGGAGAGATTACCAGGGATAATGCATTTGATTACACAATGACATTAGTACATCAATAAAGACTTCATTACTTAAAATGAGAAAGTGAAGAATACTAAAGACATGAGGGAACTGTGTCTTGATTTAGGGGGGGGGGGGGTGTGGTCAAGATGAGTGTCCAATTAACGGGGGTTAGTTTTCCTTGGGGGGGGGGGTGTATTTCTGGAAGCAAGTGTCCAGGGAACTTGTCCTTTGTGGTACTTGTTCAAGAATGCTGGTGCAGGAAATTTAGGGATTTTGATGAATAATGGTGTAACATTTTATAAGTGGTGATAGTAATGGTATAATTAATTATATTAGTGAAAATGATGACCATTACGACTGATGTGAATGTGGTAGTGATTGGTATCAATGGTGATAATAGCTGTAGTTGATGGTAATAAATATCGTAAAGTTGATGGTTATATAATGTTGGTAATAGTTATGATTATGATATTGTTTTGGGTGATTTAGGCGACAGTGAAGTAAACACAACCATCATGATCATAGGAGGCGGGGGGGGGGGCGAAGTAACTGCAGGACCCGCCTTCGAAAGAGAGAGAGAGAGAAAAAAAAGGGGAAAAATAGGTCGACAGATTAGGATACGTCGGGGTAAAGATCATAATTTTTCCTGTTAAAATAATCAGCTTATCAATAAACGATTACGAATCAAACCTACTTTCTCAATTAATTTCTGAGCTTGCTTTTTATATGATTCCTTGAAAGAAATAGTCAGTTATAAGACAAATCCCATGAACAAGATGCGACATCTCATCATCTTCATTTCACAAAATGACAGAAAACCTCAATTCCAATCTAAACTGAATTAAAATTTTATCTCAAATTATTCATTGGTATCGTAAAATTATTTGCTAAATGACAAAAGGTAAGCATGGGTTTGAAATTATGGAAAGAGGTTAACCGAGACAGCGAATATACCAGCCAATGACATCGTAAGGATGATTGGAACGGCCTCTATTAGATGTCATACAATTCGCTTTATTTGCTCCGTCCATATAAAGGAGATTGGCGGACAGAGTAAGGGAGACGAGAGTGCGTGGGAAGAATCACCGGAAATTGTAAGCGGAAATCATGTTTAATTGGTTGGCTGAACTGTTGTTTTTTAACATCAATTGACAAACAAAGTAGGACTACGATTCTTCATCTTTAAACAAAAATTAACTAAAAATAGCAGATGAAGTTTGATCTATCCCACGCAAGCATAGCCGGCGTGCTTCTTCAAACAAGTCGAGATAATTACATCCCCAGTTATGAACAAACAATTTTTCGGAAATAAAAAACTCAGGAACATTAACTGTTCGGGCAAACACTAATTGTTTGCCCGAAGGGGGGGGGGGGGGTACTCATATTTGGTTTTAACGGGGGTGTGCCGCTAAAGCCTCGAAATTCCTACCCATTTTTGAAGGGGTCATTTTGAAGGATTTTTTTCTCGGAAGTTATGCCCATTTTTCGCAATTTTTTGAATTTTGAAAAACGGCCCCATGTTTAGGGATCTTTTTGTTAAAAATGGGACCCATGTTTAGGGATTATTTTGTGAAAACTGACCCATTAGAGCGGCACACCCACATATGTCTTAATATGTAAGAACCGGGGGGGGGGGTTGATTGACATTATTTTTTTTTAATTTTATTCAAGTTTTTGAGTTAAAAAGAAACGAAGAGACAGTAATAAGGCTTACCTTGATCCGTGCAATCGCGATGTATCCAGATGACGAACGGGACGGGAAGTTATAGGAGGGGGATGATAGGGGTAACTTTCTTTAGCAGCCCGCGTGATGTATTCATATTGCCACCAGTATTTTTTTTTTCTCAGGGCATTCAGCTTGAAGGGGACGGGGGCGCAGTATACAGCTTGACCCTTTGCTGGATCGTCATTGCGTATAGAGGACTCGAAACAGGTGTAGCCTACCTGGTCCAGTACAGTACAAACCATTCATATTCGTGTTTGTTTGTTTTTACTCTGAACCACAGGTACCAGTCTTAGGATTTTGTTTCCTGAATGAATTGGATTTATCAATATTTGTTTATATATTTGTATACGTAATACATTTTTTGATTAATGTTGTATATAAATTTTCCAGATTTTTTACTAATGTAAACTATCTGTATAATGTATTGATGTTTGTAGTCAGACAACTGTTTTATCAATTGTATAATGTCATATAATTTGAATTTAATGTTTACTTACATCTTGTATAATATTGTATACATGTGCAATGCTTGTTATTTACACAATCCCGTAAATCCCGACACTCGTCGATGCCGATTAACCCCAATCTTTATCGGGCGTCTGGCAACCCGTACCGTCGGATTTCTTTTTCAGATGTTCTTTCTTCTTTTATCAGGCATACTGCTTCCAAGGGAAAAGATATACTCAAAGGGCTCATGGCACAACCCGCCAGCTACGGTCAGCCTGACAACCTTTTTATTACATAAAAAGGTGACTATTATTATTTCGGGAGATGTTACGAGACTATCAATGTTGAACATTCGGAACTCTACCGCTCGATTGCAATTCTCCCTTACGAATCTTCCTCTAGCTAAAATGCATTGGAAATTGCGTTTTGATGGTTGCAATGCAAAATATTTACCGCTCGGTCGTTTTGCTCCCTCAAAGGTAAGAAAGTTCGGGCAGGGAGGGGGGTTCGGGGTTGCGCTATATTATCGTTTGCCCTGAGCGCCATAATCCATATTATACGCCCCTGGATATTATTCCATCAGCACCATCACTTCAATTCTCTTACAAGCTCTCTATAGGTCTCATACTAAAAAAGTCAACTTCTGGGAATACTATACTTATTTCCGCGCAATGCGATTCAAAGCTTATTTCTTCAGCTGTCAATTAATTCGAATAGATAGAAGTTAATCCACGTATCTAGTTGTTGTGACATCTCATATCTTCATTGCAGTATAGCGATACGTTCAAGAAGGAAGAGAGAGAGAGGGGGGGGGTCGGGGGTTTGAACTCGAGCGGGTATTTCTGCATGTGTTTGAGTGTGTGCGTGTGTGTGATAGAGAGAAAGAGAGAGAGAGAGAGAAGATGGAGAGAAATGAGAGAGAACAGGGGCGAGTCAATATAGGGAAAGTCCAAGGTGTTCGATCATTATTTTATGTTCCATCCGTTACGTATTTTAGTATTATGAACACAAAATTACACCAAAAGCAGCATTAAATACTTAATATTTGTTATCATCTTTGGTACAAAATATCTTGAAGTTTTCGCGAACACGAAAATTAGAAACTGGGGATTACGATCCTTCCAAAAGAGACTCTATAAACAATACTTATTATTACAATCCTAAACCATTCATATTTGGAATATGAATATATAAAAAAAATTATCACTTAGTCTCAATAATTTCACTTTTCGTTTAACCATTTACAACTTCCAGTCTTCGAGTACCAAACTGATATGTGCTGGGATAGAACATCAGCATCAACAAGACAAATCGTATCATATGATTATTATTATTATTATGATTCATGAAGGCAATATTCATCCTAATTCTTTCCAAACCTCTTGCATTCCATTACAGCCATTTGACATGTGAAAATATCATAATAATCCTGCGTCTTAATATCCAACCGAATATTTGAAAATTTATTTCAATTACCTTCAGGGTTAGCAGGAATCTAATTTATCATCATTTAATCATTGATGCTGATCCCGTGAAATCATAGAAGATTTTGTTACCAGTCGGTAAATTATGCAAACAGAAGAAAGCATGACCTGACTAATATATTAACAATTATAGTCTCCAGCATTCCATTCCTCTTTGTAAGTATGTTTAATTTCTGACATGCCTTGTAACGAGTAGTAAATCTTGTCAAAGCCAGTGTTTGTATAAGTCATGTACGTATGCG